CCAGCATTGCCAACCGGCACATAACCGAAGCCGCGCATACATACGACCAAATCGTGTATAGTCTTAGGAGATGCTCCGACTGGTGATGGGTTAAATACTATCGGTCATTCTGACATCTGAAGACTTAACATCTCGCAATCTAAGCAGCAGAGTGTGCCCTAGTGCATCTCATCATCGCCACCTGACACACACGCGCGCATACGACCACGTCGTGCGTGGCACAACCGGCACTTCAACAATGGCGAACGATTATCAGCTGTCTCGCACCCTCGCAACTAAGTACTTATCATGCCGCACATTAACATGAGAGAGTATCACACATGCCACACTGATCTCTAAACCAAGCACATGCCACACCCACCTCTGAATCAACCACATGCCACACTAATCTTTAACCAACCACATACCACACTCGCCTCTAAACTACTTGTCTTGTGCCTCATCAGGAGCGTACATCCTGGCACATCCCATCATTGCCAACTGGCACATGACCGGCGCAGCTCACACGTACGACCAGATCGTGTGGGGTCCAGGCAATGCCCAATCCATAGCAGAGAACAAGCGACAGGGAAAGAAGTCGTGCACAAAGCCAGCTACTGCAGAGTTGGGCTGTGTTTCACCGCTTTTGATTGTCCCGGGTATGTGCAGTATATACTGTTGTGGAAAGGGGGGCGTGTGTGGGATATGTAGGTAGGGGGTTTTTTTTCTCTGGGCTATGTAAAAATGGGTTTTTTAGGCCATGTGTATCTGATTGATACAATTGCCGGATGGGGTGCATCTATTCGGGAGGATAGTAACTTAATATTATATAAGTCGGACGGCTGCGTGGTTAACTTTAGTACATACTTATCCAATATGTAACACATTGCCAGCCCTGTGCGTCCACCAATGAAAACTGCCCATTTTTAAAACGGTGAGCAACCTGCCCTCGTCGACAGGAGACTGGACCGATGTGGAGCTAGAGCACGTGGCCGCCCAGATAGCAGGCACAGTAACCAACAACAACTCCTACAACTGCGTGGCCGGGAAAGTTCTAATTATAGACGGCCAATGGGATCTCAAGGATAAGTTCATTGGCTGTGTGGAGGCGGCTCTCGCCCGCGTGCCCACGCGAAATCCGTACTACCCTGGCAGCAAGGACCGGTACAGTCATCTGCAGTCCGCCTATCAAGAGCGCTTTGAGCCGATCGACCAGCCCAGTCAAGACAAGGCGCATCTGCAGGTGAGTTGGCACGAGGGTGTTGTGTGTGTCATGGGCTGCTGCACGTTGCACGTGATGTTACCTGTATCCCTGTATAATGCGGTCGGGGCTGTGCTTGATTGGTATATGCAGCATATACCAGCATGTACTTGGTATCTAGCCCAGGTATAGGAAAGACGCAATCTGGTTGGGAATAGGCGTTACTATTCGCCACGGTAGAAAGTACGCGCGGATTTGCCATGGCTAGCACTAAGGCGATGACCGAGGTGCAGTGATGACATTACGGACAAGCGCTGAACCTGAGGGGAAGGCTATGTGGGGCTGCTGCTCTTCTCATAAACCCTAACCCTAAAACTCTAAAAACCGGACAAGGCAATGCAATACGTATACAGCTACAAATGCATCACGTTGGTATTGGCGTCAATAATACATCCACACTACCGGTACGTAGTGTCAAAGGAATACTGAGAAAAACCCAAAACTCAAAACCCTATACGTGTCACGTTGATGTTGACGCGGATAATACATTCCCATAGCAGGTGGGTTGGGTTAAGGGGCTACTGAGCAAACCTCCTAAACCCTAAACCCTATGTGTCACGTTACTATTGTCACCAATAATACATCTACAAAACAGGTGGGTCGGGTGAAGGGGCTACTCAACAGTGAAGTGGACAGCGATTAGCCTGCACTGAGTTATGAAGCATGGTCGCCTTTCTATGCCGAGCTGATGTTGGGGCTGTTGTTTTACACTACACGTACACGTCCAGGTTGAATATTGTGTATAAATACACTGTTATGTGTACACTCTCGCATTTGGGCGTATCCGTTTATATTAGGATCTGTACAATCTGATGTGTCGTCAGCCTGCCTTGCAGAGACGCACACACGTGACTCGCACAGTCTTGAATGTATCCGTTGTTGCTTCACAACTCTCGTTCCCTGTACCTGATGGGTATATGAATTGATATCTACCCTTTATATGAATAGATATCTACCCTTTATATGAATATATATCTACCCTTATATTGAAAATATCTACCCCTTAAACTGTCACCTCTATAGGAACAGATAAATACCCCTTAACGCAACACATCTTTCTGTTGATATGGTGTAATT